TGATGTTGATGGCATTTGACCTCACCCCACTATTTGTAAAAGAAAATATGTAGCCCATAGCTAGCTCACACTGTTTACACACCACAACACACAACAACATAATCATACATGCTTTTGAACAGAGCAACACATAACAACACATAATGTAACAAACAAATCATATAAAAAGGAAGAGCTGTAAATAAATCTTAAGTCTTTAAAATACAGTTTCCACCATTGAAAAGGGAATTACCTTTTACCTGTGATCTTTACACTGAGTAAATAATTAAGCCTAAGAGTTTGCACAGATTTACATGTATTTCTGGTCATAAAATATTTGTGGACTGCAGATATACCATACAATCAGCAATACAGTATAAATTAAAAGTATTACATCAAAGTAAAGTAGTACTGATCAGTGAGGAGTAACATGTCGCTGTAATTCAGTGGTTCTCAAACTTGTCCTGTCATTCCCCACTTTGAACAGGTGGGCCTCTTCAAGCCCCACCTGTTCCTCATCGCTCCAATAAAATGGTAGGCCAAGCTTAAAATTGTCAAATGTATCGTTCTATAACAGGGGTCCGCCGTTGTGAGTCTCCGGCTGTAACAATCCACTACTGCCCGCGAGGACCCAGGTTCGATTCCGGCCTGAGGTCCAAAACTTCCCACCTATCACATCTCTGCGCCCCACCAGTGGGGCGTGTCCCACACTTTAAGAAACGCTGCTGTAGGATAACAAAATGAATGCCTTGAATAAACCGAAATACACGTGTTGAAGCCCCCCACGCATGCCGAATATTTGCTGCTGATTACTATCGAATATCCGGAGCCTGAAAAATGGTATTCGGGACAGCCCTAATACTAACACAGTTCGTTTGTTTCTTGTGCAGGTTTAGCATTCATTTTGTACATTTTCTCCAAAGTAAAACATATAATATGAATAAAATAAACATGTGTGTGATTGTGTTTGGTGACAGCGGGTGCCACCATGCATGATCGCGGATCTGTTCAACGATTTCCGAGACGGCTCCAAGCTGTTGGACCTGCTGGAGGTGATGAGTGGTCAGCGCATGGTGAGTAACTCTCCGTTCAACACTCAACATGTTTTCAGCATGTTCGGACAGTCTGAACGAACCCACTGACTGACCGACTCTCTGGTTGTGTTTGCAGAGTCGGGAGAGAGGCCGGGGAATGTTTCAGCACAGGAGCAACATCGAGAAGGCCCTTTTATTTCTGAAGATGAAATCGGTAAATGACACACTAAGTCTGTTAGCCAAATGCAATCATCAACCATATAGGGATGTTTCAACTGTTGTCGTTAACAAAACCAGAAGGATGATGCGTTTTGGAAACACATTTTTCCATAAAAATCATACTAGTTACACAGTTACGGGTCTAAATGTGGCTCGCATTGTTTTTAAGAAATAATGAGATTACTACATTTCTACAATTACTTCTTTCTTTTGTATGTATCAATTGACCCTTTGTGGAAGTTTGCAAAATATTTTTGTTTTGTTCCCAGATCAAACTAGTCAACATAAACATTCCTGACATCATTGATGGTAAACCGTCTATTATCCTGGGCCTCATATGGACGATCATTCTCCAGTATCATGTGAGTTACATTTGGTATCTTTTTTGTAGTTCTCTTCATATTTCTTTGAGTTTTTCCCTTTGTTTAGTTTTTTCCCACTCACAATAATAAAACCTTATGTAAGCCTGCATGAATATGTAACAGTTCTTATTTTCCTATTGTCTGTGTTCTATAATAAATATATTTTGGATATCATTATTAGATTTGTGCAGATTTCTTAGTTTTACAAAATGTTTCTACTTTTGATCAACATGCTCCAATTAAGCACATTCATTTAAACTTAACACCTGAAACACGGGATATGTGTAAGCCATAGGATTTTTGTGTATTCTTCATGATTTTAAGTTTCCTCTGTTTCTGAAAAGATAATGATTTCCCTTTTTTTTTCTTGATTTTTTGTCACATTTTGAAGGTATTTGTTACTGTTTTACACCTTTTTTAAACGTCTACAAATGTCCCATACATAAATGCATAAAATAATGAACAGAAACTGTGTGTTGGTGCTTTTCTCAGATCGAGGAGTTGGCCAGCAGCCTCTCGTTCAATTCCCGTCAGTCGTCCATGGAGTCCCTGGTCAGTCTGGACTCGCGCTCCACGCTGTCGAGCCGCTCGGCCAGCAGCAGTCCGGTTCCTCTCAGAGGCTCGCCGCTGCACCGGCGCTTCAGGGTCTCTGCCAAGAAGGCCCTGCTGCTCTGGGTCCGGGAACAGTGCCACAAGTAAGCATCCAGTCAACTGAATGCTATAAAGGAACACATATGCCCTTATATGTGCTGTGTAGATAAGGTAACACTGATATTAATCGACTTCATACAGCCTTGAAAAACCTCTAATTAATTGTAGGGCTGATGGATCATCACACGTCATGACCATCAAACTTTTGAAACTGCCAGCTCTGGGATAAAGACCAAAACCTAATCAGGGCTTTCTTATCTCGGCTTGGCATATACTGCCTGCCAAAATCTGTTCACATACTTTCTACATTGGCTTTAACAGCGTTTATGTTACATATTACATTCCAGCATTTATTTATAGATGTATGAGGTATTATAAAATCGCTGTGCTGACTTAATGCCATTTCTAAATGTTGTTCTTTTAAGAAAATCTATAAAATAGTTTTGAAAATGGCTTTCGGGCGTTGCCTTCATATCTTTTATCCTAGTATCTAGATTTGAGCTTGTCTGTACTTGATCTTAAAAGGCCTATCTATGAATGTCTTAAGATAAATGTCAGACATTTTTTCTCTCTTTTGTTTTTCAATAAAAGTGTTTTACCTGTAAAACAGATAGAAAAAAAGTTTGATAAGCTAAAAAAAGGTTTTCCAGCATTATTTTAAAAAGTATTTGTTGTGGTAATACTCTTTGTGGCCACCAGAGGCTGAAATATTTGGACCACGAGTTAGTAGAAGAAAGGCTTGCTTCTGTACCATTTGTAAATATGTCGAGCAGCAACAGACCCTCTGACAGACAACCTTTTTCCCTCAGAGCTGGCTGTTCAATAAATGTGAAAGACTTCAAAGCCAGCTGGAGGAGTGGGGTGGTGTTCCTGGCGATCCAGTATGCTCTGCGGCCCGACCTGGTGGATCTGTCCAAAGCCAGAACCAGGAGCAACAAGCAGAACCTGGAGGAGGCCTTCCGCATCGCAGAGAAAGAGCTGAAGATCCCCCGACTGCTGGACCCTGACGGTGGGTCATTCAGCTCTACTGCACTCAGGGAACATCATGGGAACATGTTAAGATATTATAAGCACTAAAGTCTCTCGACTCCATCAGACAATTGTTCCTGTATGGTCATTGTACAAGACTTATTTTTGTAGTACTAGAAGAGGAATACTACTGCCAATAATGATAGATGACACATTTTGGATGTAGCCTAATTGTTATTTTGACACAAATGGAAATGGTTATACAGTAACAAAAATAATTATAATTTGACATACAAAATAAATCTTATATTTACCTGCTTACATAACCTTAAAGGGGACCTATCATGCAAAATCCACTTTTTCATGTCTTGTATACATCAACATGTGTCCCCTCTGTGTAACGAGCTTCTGAAAGTTTCAGGAAAAAAGATTCTCTCTCTTTTTGTCCTGATCCATTTATATAAAAACCTGTCTGAAAATGAGCTGATCAGATTTTGGCCATTTTATGATGTCATAACAATTGTTTGGCTTGTGTAACCATTAGCCAATCACCAACCAAGGTAACCCCCCCACCCCCCCCTCCTTATCACCTGAATCCCCTCCTAGAGCACC